AAGAAAAAGAGTAAACGAATAAATAGAAACTGGTCTATCTCGCAGCATCTTCCGCAACGATCGCGCGCGTCCGAACGCGTAGACGCCGCACGTAGCAATCTTATCTTGCGACCGCCAGTTGTTTAAAATGTTTCCATCGTATATAAAACAACTGCGTTCGACGCGCCGAACGAAAGGTCGGAACAGAGTGAGAAAAAGCTAGAAGCTAATCGCTTGTGCGATTAAATCCCGGTACGTAGACGCGTGACGGGCTTCTCGTTTAATATAAATGCCTAGTACTTATAGTATTTTCACCGTTAATTTATTGACCCTAATGTAAAAGCAGCGACAGCCGAAGCGGTTAATAGTCGACTGAGTTGGCAGGGGGCGAAAAGGAGCGAGAGGGTGTAATAAAGAGGGTTGAAATAGGACGGACACATTGGGAATTAGCGGATCGTCGATATATTAGTTAACAACGTTACGGTAAAAACGGTTACGGAAGGAATTATAGCGTTATTTATCGAAAGATCAGTGCGCATCTGTGATTCTAATCACTATGCTCGACACGTCGCCTCTATTTTCATATAGGGGCGCGTCACGCGCTTCTCCGTCTTCGAATTACATTTACGAATGTGGGGGAGATTGCGGTGCATGAGGAGGGTGAAATCGACGGAGACAATTACGACCTTACGTAAGTCGATACGAAGACGAATACATTTGTAACGTAGCTAAGCAGTGGTCTATGGGACGATCGAACAGGGCGATATAATGATTTGGAGCTTGATGTGATATAATACTTATGTGCCAAATAGCGTTTTTGCGGGCGGGGGGTTAATCAAAAAAAAAAAAAAATAAAAATAAAAAAAGGAAAAAAGAGAGAGTGAGAGAGAAACCTCTAGTTCCGAGTCGCCTCGTTGGCTCGACGTGAAACGAATTTTTTTGCGTCTCCTCCTTTTTTCACGTTTTCTTCTTTTTGTTATTTATAATCAGTGCAATTACATACACACACGGTACCTAATATAATTTTATAAAGAGAGCCAGTATCCTCGATATATCTGCACCCGTTTTGTTGGGGCTCGACCGGCATCAGATTTAGGGTAGCTTAATGTTGATAATAATTTATTTTATGTATATAATGGATTTGTACATTGTGTCGGGAGATAATCATCGATCCGCGGTCCGACACGAGCGTCAATATTATTAATGTACAGTGTAACTATATTGTGATGTATCTACGTAGCTACATTATACATACATATATATATATATATAAACTATTTGAAGTATGTAGATTAACAATGTTAAACGCGATATGTATTCTTATTTTTAACGTCATTATTATCTTTATTATTATCTTTATTATTATTATTATTATTATTATTATTATTATTATTATTATTATTATTGAGATGGCACCATTATTATTATCATTATTATTATAAATATTACAGTTATTAATATCATCGTTGCTTATTTAGTACACTATTATTTAAGTGACGAGCCTTATTATTTTTAGTAGCAAGAAAAAGGTTGTACGTGCCAGTTTTAAACAAGAATGGCAAGTGAAAGTTCGTTGGTCGTTTATGCTCGAATACTCAATCAAATTTTAATGCAATATTTCTATGTACATGTTTCCTTCGTTTGAGCCGTTTTCTTGATCTGTGATTTCGGAATACTGCATCTAGGAATTTCAATTTTATATCACATTCATAATCTTCATTTTAAAATTTTAAAATGTGTTTCTTTCTTTAGACAAATCTTTCGTTGTCATTTTCAAAAGTAAACTTCGAGAAAAGTTCAATTTTTAAAAAATCATTTTATTATTAGACAATGGCAATTTTTTATTTAGCAAAAAAATGACATTTTGAGTAAACAATCTACTTACATTACATTTTTTTCGATTGTGCCATATCTTTGTTGTAAACATTGAAAAATTTAATTGTTTTCACGTTTGTGTAAAATTTTAAAATCAAACCACCTGACAATATAACTCGCGCGTGCAATGGATTCGGGTCCGCGTTTTTTATTTAATCTTACCGATTCTTATTGTTGTCCGCAATGTTTGTTTTGATAAAAATCGGTTCTGCATTCCATCGATTGCGATTTTCATCCACACGATGATCGTTGAAATTAGCAACGACATTTAGTCCGTGGCGATCTCTTTACTTTCAAATATCACAAATGTTACGCGATAATATATCAGCACATGATTATTATATTTACTGGCCTTTACATGCAACCAATGCGAATGCAAACTGTAAGAATAGTAAATTGTAAATCGAATTACACTACTAATATTATAGTATATTTAACATAAAGAAAAAGTGAACACTAACATCTTCGCTCTCAATATTCCAAGCATTCACTTCATTTACATGTACGTTGTTGTTAATGGTATAAAAAATATAATAAAATAACGCTTTACCGAAATTCAATCTTAGTTTTAGGGGTATACGACACTATTTCTAGAAGAAAAACTTGTACGTATGAGGAATGTATATAGTTATGTAGTACTAGTGCAAATGAAGAGAGACAGAATGAACGGGGGGGAAAGAAAGAGGGAGTGAAAGAGAACGAAAGAAAGAATAAAAGGAGGGGGAGAAAGAGAGTGAAAGGTAGTGAATATAAAAACCAGTCAGACGATGTATGAGTGACATAGAATTCTCACGATCATCTTAACACTACTCGTGTCGTGATCGTAGTACATTATCGGTATATCACTATCAATAGCATAAAATCAAAATATATATTTAGGATGATGGGTAAATCGCTACTGATAACATTACTTTAAATTTTATTTATTGATACATACTCATAAAGGAATAGTTTTCATCGCGGCAGTGTTAAGATGAGCGTACAAATCATACAGTAGAAAGGAAAAGTCATTCTTTGAAATGCACATATAAAGCAGTAAAATTCGAGTCTAAAGACGTAGTGCGTTTTCGCACTTACTATTATTATGAACAAAACAATTGCATCTGAGAATACAATGGCATTTTCGTTGAATATAATTGATAAATCTAAAATAGAAGTCTCATCAAGTACGCACCACAAGCTGGCTGTGAGTCATATGTGACTAACTCTCCTTCATATTTCATTGTTGACAAAGAGCATACATATTCATCACTATCGCTTAAATTAAAATATACCAATAAACATTAGGAAATTGTAATTATTTATTTATGTTGACATAATCCAAGATGACTTTTCCTCATAGATAGACATCAAATGCACTGTATATCACAATAGAGAACAGCACTATTATAAACATAAAAAATATGATTATATTTATTATAATTTGAAAGCTAGGTACTCTTTGTTGTTTGTATTTTACAAGCGTAATCATTATTATATATAAATAAATATGAACTATATAAATGAATAAATACAAGACTTTCATTTTTATACGTATCATACAGAAAAACTGAGGAACTTACAAGGATTTAGAAGACCATGATAATTAAAAATGATAACGAAGATACATGGTTAAAATTAATAAGGTGTCATCTATTAATAACTGTGTAGCCACCAGTTTTTTCATTGCAGTTTGTGCTTTTTCAAGCTGTTGAGTTTCAGATGGCGTCATCATTTCTGCAATCTATAAAAAGAGTTTTAATTATTATCATTTATTAACTCGCTGTTTTTAAAACTATTATATCCCAGTAATATAAAAATATTAATGTTACATCAGCCAATTGTTGTTCCGTCGCACCATGTTCCTTCAAATTAGCAGAGAGTATCTGTATTCTCAATTGCTTTTCTATCATACGTTTATTACTAATCGATTCATGTTTCCGTCTTGTTATAATGTTATAAAATGTATGGAAACAATGCTCAATTTCCATTTCGACAATTTTGTCTAAATCGATGCAAAAGCGATAAGGTAGTTTTGTAGGTCCTGATGAAGTACCACTTTTCTTTAGTTCTTGAATTTGTATATAATTTTCTTGCGACAAAGTATATGTTAAAAATTTGGCTTCTTTAGCTGGAATCATCGCTAACTTCTGGATTTGTTCCAGGCTAACATCAATTTCCGTACTCACTAATCTAAAATCACAGAAAAGAGCCACACACAAAAGTTAGAGAAAATATACAACTAAAACATTCTCTCTTACAGTAAAGCAAAATATTGAGGATTAAATTCGTAATACCTAAATATTCTTGCAGCTTTGGAACCGAATCTTTCTGTTACAATATTTTCCAAAGTTGCCCATGTTAACTCTTTAAATGCGTTCTTCATGTTAACGCTGTATTGTCCACCACCAGAATCACCAACTCGTTTAATAAATTGTGTTTTATCTTCTTCTAAAAGTCGCAAGTACTGATCAAGATAACGTTCGAGGTCTTCATAATTTAACTTTTTCACTTGTTCTTTTATCTCAGTATATGGAATTGGATTCGATGTATCTGCCCAAGATGCAGTTCGCAAATACATCAAATTAATTAATTGTCTCATTAATTCTCCAGCTTCTTTGTCAAATTTTCGAGTCACAGCTGATATAACAGTTTGATCTCTGATATAAATTATACATTAATATTTTAATTATAATCGGAGATAATTGCAAATTAGGAATCTTACCTAAGATCTTGAGTAAATCTATCAAAATTGACCTCCCAAAATATTTTTCTATCCGAAAATTTAATATTTTTTCCTTCTAATGATTTGGATATGGCCGTCAAATTAAGATCTGGTAAATTATATGTAGGTCTTTCAGAATTTTCTGTCATTGTTTTAGAAGATTTACTATTCATTAAAAATTGATTTTTCACTAATAACTCAAATATATTTTTCAGATTAGGGATAGAAGGTGGTTCAGTAGCTAAAAAAAATTAGATTATTAATACAAAAAATTCCAGAATTCATTAGATTAAGAACAAAATTTTTTTTAAATAACTAAAAAATAGAAGATGAATAAGGAAATATATATGATATCAAATCTTCAAAGACCGTGAGAATTATTATATATATATTTAAACCAATGAGAACCGATGACAATGTGCCATAACAGTCAAGTTGGATCTTGGGTGCTTCTATATTACTGCAGTAGTTTAGTAGAGTTGTGTTTCAAGTCTAAAAAATTTGACGCGCAATTAAAAATTTACATATGTAGTACATAAATTTACATGTAATTATATAGAAACACCCAAGACTAGCTTGACCATTATGGCATGTTCTCATTGATTTTCATCGGTTTAAAATATATTATTATAATTTTGAATCATACAGTTAGAAGGAATCTGTTCAATTCGTTTGTATGTTTTTATTATGACTTGAGACGCTGTGATACGTTTATATTTTAATACTTCTTCCAACATCATTTCACCCTCATCTCCACAGTAAGTTTTTGCAAACAATATGTATCTGTAATAAATATTTATATTTTTAATACATGAAACAAATTATATTCTACAATATAATTAAAACTCTCTTATTTCAATTTATAAAAATACCTTGAATAACGAAGAATCATAATAATTTTGCATGGATGTAAAGTATACTCAATATTTAAATTATTTTTGTAATAAGTGACAAAGCCATGTAGTATAAGGTCACATAATCCTTCATTTACCTAAATATCACATAAAATATTGTCAATTCTTGATTTGAGATTATTTTTTTATTACAGTTTTAGGATGTCATGAACCAATTAGAAAACAGTATTTTAATAACTTACAATATTATTTTAGATTACTTAAGATGATCTTGAATATATAAGACCAGTCTTCATTATTATATATGTTATATAACTGCAAGCATTGTTTACCTTTGCTTCTGGTAGACTTGTTCCAATACATATTTCACGTAATGTTTTTGGTCCATACAATAAATTGTTACCAATGTGCCTTACAGTAGAACCAAAGCACTCTTCTAACAACAACAAGCACAGCTTACTATAAATATCCTTCATATTTATGAAAATTGATCCTTTTGCTTTTAGTTCGTATGTAATTCCAAAAGTAACTGCATGTAATTTGCTTTTATATAGATCTAATGGTGTGATATTTTTTCCTTTTACAGATCTTTTTTTTAGTACTCTTCAAATGGAGAGAATTTGGAGTGCCAACCAGTATTAATAGTTTAATTTCTTCTTGAGATTATGTGACACCTGCAAAGAATGTTCTTGAGTAATTTTGAGGTTATAGTACCACATATGACCACGTGTACTTATGTGAAACAATAACAACTAATTTTTATTGTTTATATATAATTCTAAAAGCAACTGCATGCAAGTTATCTTTACATGGTTCGAACCAACGTGTATTTCTCCTTTCTGTAATTCTTTTTTAATATTCTTTGAATAGAAAGAATTTGGAATGCTTTTACTCTATGTGGTCGTACGTGTCTTCGACAGCTTCTTGTCTTTCGACAATTTTTTCAGTCTTTTCTTGAAATTATACGATACCTGCAAAGAACTTCAGTTTCTAATAACAATCTTAAGTTATATCACGTAACCACACGTAATTGACGTAAACCACGTGTACGATAGTACGATAACAATTGAACTAAATATTTACTACATTAAGGTAGTTTTACATGGCAGCGTCGAGCATCGTGAACTTGCTATTTGTCAATTTTGATCAAATAACCAAAGGGCGCATTCAGCAGAAAAGAGCGCTACGAGAGCGCTCGCTGTTATTGGTGTATTCTTCTAGATCATCCAATCAGAATTTTAAATCTGGAAGAATATACCAATAACAGCGAGCGCTCTCGTAGCGCTCTTTTCTGCTGAATGCGCCCAAAGTAACCTGTTTAAGTAGCCTATAATAAGTTCACAATGCTCGACGCTCGACCAATAAGAATAAAGGAATTTTAACTCCTATTATTTTGATTGGCCAAATTTCAATCTTTTACAATCTTTAATCTGAATTTTTAATTAGTAGTTTGATTCCGGCCTAAGGATTCAAGATTCACGAAAGAGCAGTAGCCAATCAAACCTCGTGCTCGTAGAGTCGTAGTCGACTTTCTGTTAGTTTTGTACTACATACTACCAACGTAAGTTCTATTGGCTACTGCTTTTTCGCTTTTCCGTCAAGATGTGAACCCGCCCTAATACCTAGGGTACTGTCAGTCTCGCTACAAATGCTTTGAAGCGTTTGATTGACCAATCAGAAGAAAGAACTTTACAAATTTACCAATCAAGAAACGCTTCGAAGCATTTGCAGCATCGCGTTGAAAAATTATTCGAGAATCACTAGAAATACTAGGGACTTACAGCCGCAAGTTAATTTCTGCACCAATATCAATCTACACTATTATCGCACTTGAAATACGAGGCAGGAATCAGACTATACTGAGATTAAAGATTAAAGATTAAAATTTCACCAATAAGGACAAAGAAATTTTGAGTTTTTTTTGTTTTGATTAGTCAAACTTCAATCTTTCAATCTTCAATCTCATTCTTCAATGCGTAATCTGATTCCGGCTTTAGCGTTGCTTGCACTTTTTGCACTCAGCATCTTTGCTTTCTCTCTTTCTTCAACGGATGAACATATTATATTTATCTCATTTTAAGTGCACAAATTTTGAACTTCTCAAGCAACACGAAAAAACTTACAAACAGCCAAAAAAAACAGATAAGGAAAAAAATGTCAATTATTATTGCATAATTATTTTGTAATTTCGTGATTTTCGCATGACTTTAAATACTCTACATTTTTTTATTTGTAATGGAAGCAGATCTTCATTTTAATGAACCTTTAATGAATTTTTATAGAACTGTTCCATTATTATACCGCGTTCAAGTGAAATAATAATCAGAGTCCGCAAAGTATTTATTTTTATGTACATTTATTGACACGCAGATACCCATTTGAAGGAAACAATCGTCTCGAACTCGATTGGGGATCGATTAGTGAGTAACCGCCACTTGAACCGTGCCGGCACCGTGGCAGCAACGCTTCCGCCGGAACATCATTGTCGCGGATGATCACGTGATCGAGGATCGACTTCTTCGTTTGTGGCCACGAGGTTTTGTGGTAAAATTAAGTTTACCGGGTGGAAAAGGCCCCTTATTTTTGTAGTTATACAAAAATGCCCTCCAGCAACCCGTTGCCACCCAAAGAAAATGCCCTGTTCAAGCGGATCCTGGTGAGTAACGATCGATCAAAATACTCTGTTTTGGACCCCACTCTCCGGCAAGCAGGGTGCACTCGCCGTGTTCTAATGATAAAGCATTTCCTCGGGGAAGTAAAACGAGAAATGCTCACTGGCGACCGCGTGACGCAGCTGCTTGCTTGGTGTCATGCATGAAAACCCGTCTCGCTCCGCGACACTCTGCGACGATGCATTGTCGATCCTCGCGCGAATGCAAGCAAAATCCATTGAACCCCCCCCCCTCCCTCGTACCTAACCCTACAAATGCCCATAAATGCATCTTTATATAGTATATGTTTTCTTACAGAGATGCTATGAACACAAACAATACAAAAATGGGCTGAAGTTTGCAAAACAGATCCTGTCAAATCCCAAGTTCAGCGAACATGGAGAGACCTTGGCGATGAAGGGTCTCACTCTCAATTGTCTGGGCCGTAAGGAAGAAGCCTATGATCATGTGCGCCGTGGCCTCAGGAATGACCTACAATCCCATGTTTGCTGGCATGTTTATGGTCTTCTGCAACGTTCCGACAAGAAGTATGATGAGGCTATCAAGTGTTACAGGAACGCGCTCAAGTGGGACAAAGATAACATTCAAATCCTTAGGGATTTATCGTTGCTACAAATCCAGATGCGGGATCTGGAAGGTTATAAGGTATTAATATTTAGTATTGATCTATTTTATTGCAAGCTCTTATTTTGTTATGTATATGCATCATATTCTAAAACTGCATTATATTTTAATTATATATTACAAATATATTTTTCGTTAGGATACCAGATATCAGTTGTTTATGTTACGTCCTACTCAACGAGCTTCTTGGATCGGATTTGCTATTTCATATCATTTGTTGAGAGATTATGAGATGGCATTAAAAATTTTAGATACTTTTCGAAATTCTCCAATGGTATGTTAATTAAACATAAAGATCCTTTATATATAGAAATAAAAATATTTTATAATAAAAATTATTATTATATCTACAGATTTGTTATGATTATGAACATAGTGAGTTGTTATTATATCAAAATATGGTCATCCAGGAATCAGGAGAATGTGAACAGGCGTTAAAACATTTAGACAAGTATAGTGATCAAATTTGTGACAAGGTTACTGTCAAAGAAACTTACGGTAAGTTTTGAACATGATTCTTCAAATCATGCTTTTAATACTTGAATATATCTTTAATGTTTCTTGAACCACCCTTTAGGTAAACTAAGACTTCAACTGAAACAGTATGCAGAAGCAGAACAAGTTTACAAGGAGCTATTAGATATTAATCCTGAAAACACAACATATTATACTAGGCTAGCAGAGGCTGAAAGACACTCTTCACCAAGCGATACGTTGCAAATGCTCCAAAGATACGAAGAACTCTTTCCTCGAGCATTAGCACCACGCCGTTTGCAACTCAATTATGCGATAGGAGATGAATTTAAAGTCTTAGTTGATCGATATTTACGGAAAGGTAATTTTGTACAAAAAAAATGTTGTGCACATGCAATTATTTATGAATAATATTTTTTAAATTTTATGTATTTAATTGGATTAATTTTTTTCTAGGGCTTCACAAAGGTATACCACCGTTATTTGTGAATCTTCGTTCATTATACACTGATAAGGAAAAAGTCGAAATCATATCATCTCTACTTGTGCAATACAAGGAGGCATTAAAACTTCACGGTCACTTTAGCGATCAAGAACATGATAATCCACGAGAACCAGCATCGGCGTTATTGTGGACTTATTATTATCTAGCGCAACATTACGATTACCTCGGTCAAACGGAAAAAGCATTGATTGAGATTGATGCTGCCATAGATCATACTCCTACGCTTATAGAACTGTTTGTTACCAAAGGACGCATTTATAAGGTAGGATTTTACATATTTATATAAATGTAATATTATTACTAGGTGGCGTTATAAGCCTTGAAAAACCATGACATTCTCTGATTTTATTATAATAGCAATTTTTATGGGAGGAGGCGGGGATTAAGATTTTAAAACTTTGTTATTGTAAACTTTATAATAATATAAGCAATTAAGACTTCTTACAATTCAAATACAAATTTGTATTTGTTATTGTATGTTTGAAATTTTTTTCTTTGTTTGATACTTTGTTTTCATCGAGTAGAATATTTTTCCACTCAAAATTCTTAGTGTTATATATGCGAGGTAAGAAATCACAAATACGAGATTTGAACCTGTATTTTTGACTTGGTAAGCAACTGTTTTAGCAATGAGCTATTTAACACCTCGCATAATTAATATAACAAATATTTATTATAAAGATTAATATTATAAAGAATTTATTATAAAGAATATTATTATAAAGAATGTTGAAGATATATGTGGTCTAAATAGAATTTCGTATATTAATAGCACGCGGGTAATGTTCAAGAAGCTTATAAGTGGCTGGATGAAGCACAGGGATTAGATACAGCTGATCGATATATTAACTCTAAATGTGCCAAGTACATGCTTCGTGCGAATCTTATTAAAGAAGCAGAGGAGACATGTGGAAAGTTCACGAGGGAAGGAGTTTTAGCTATGGAAAACTTGAACGAGATGCAGTGTATGTGGATTCAAACAGAAGCGGCCAACGCGTACAAACGCCTTGGAAAATATGGAGAAGCATTGAAAAAATGTCACGAAGTTGATAGGGTAGGTACTATCTTGTGTGTATGTGTATGCACTCGCGCGTAACACGTACACATTCAAGATGAATATGTTATATCTCTTGTAACATGATTATTTGCAGCATTTTTCGGAAATCATAGAGGACCAATTCGACTTTCATACATATTGTATGCGGAAAATGACGTTGCGATCTTACGTGGGACTTTTAAGGCTAGAAGATGTTCTTCGAGCTCACCCATTCTACTTCAAAGCAGCGAAATGTGCAATGGAGGTTTATTTGCGGCTACACGATTATCCTTTGCCAGATCCAGCGCAAACGCAAGAAATCGATACTGGTGAGTACTGCTATTTATCAAAACAATCTTTTGAACAGCCATGCATAGTATATCTTTTACAAATTTTAATCTGAATTTAATTAAATACTATACAGATTATGTCACAAAATTTAAATTTAATTTAATTTGTAAGTGGATAAGTAGGATGCCCAAACAGTACTTCAAATACAGTTTTTTTAAAATCTTATTTTGGAAATAAAAATAAAATATATTAAGATGTCTTAAAATTTTACGTTCTTGTATCTCATAAGGTATATTAACGTAAATTTAATTATAATACAATTTACTAGTAAAAAATATAATTATAAAATTATGTAGGATGTTTATCCTACTTATTAACTTGCATATCATTATAAACTATCTACCTATTGAAGATTAATAGAAGGAATTATATATGTATTATAAACTGCTG